ATAATAATAATAATAATAATAATAATAATAATAATAATAATAATAATAATAATAATAATAATTTATCAGACTTGAATACTCTGATTCTACAAAGAAACACCCTACTTGGAACAGCTTATATCCTTGGACGCTACCTGAACAGTTCCTAGGTCCTTGGTTAGGACTCGAGCTGTTGAGCTACCAACCAACCCCAAAGTCTGTGAATCTCACTAAAGATTAAATAATAACAATAACAATAACAACAATAATAATAATAACAGCAGCAACAACAAAATACAAAAATCTACGAACAGAAATAGAACGACTATGGCAAAGGCACGCAAGGGTAGTACCAATAGTAATAGGTGCCTTGGGTTCAATCCCAAAACAAACTGGAGCACCATCATTGGCATTGACAAATTTGCCATCAGTCAATTGCAGAACCTGGCTTTACTTAAGCAGCTTAAGCGGTGGGATTCAGCTGGTTTGTACCAGTTCATGAGAACTGGCTGTTAATTTTCTGAGCAATTCGGCGAACTGGCTGTTGGAAGGACTCTCCTTCCAACAGCCTTTTGTTTTTCTCACCTTAAGGCAGGGGTGTCAAACTGCATTTCTTCACGGGCCGGATCAGCACTGTAGTGCTCCTCTGCAGGCCAGCAGGAGCGGTGGGCCAGATGCCTCCTGCAGCACCCTACTGGCCAAAATGGGACACAGGGGGTCCTTGATGCGGTCCTCAATGAAATCGGGTTTGACACCTCTGTCCTACAGCAATCTTTCTGCCAAGTGCAGCCTTCCCCACAGGTGCCTGAACAACGTATCTCCGGCCTCCCACCAAAGTCCGCCAGGCTGAGTCCACGAACAGGCAGGAACTGTCCTGTGACTTCATTTGGTTGGGGCCCTGCACATTGGCAAGCATACCTAATTGTGGCTTATTCTAGAAATCACAGTAAGCGCATTTTTAATTTGTGAGTGAACTACAAGCTGGAATTTAAGTTGCTTTTTTTTTTCATCTCACCCGCATCCACTGTACATATTTGGCTTGAGAAAGCCAAGATTCGCACATTGGGTGACATCCTAATGGGGTCAGGTTGGGCTTTGTTTCACAGCCTGTTTCTCATGTTGCAGGTAACATCAAATGTTATCCCGTGCTCTGCTAAGACGATTGAAGCTTTCCCTGTTAGGCATGTGTTGCAAACCATGCTTCATGGCTAAGTATGTTATGGAAACACAACCACTCAACACACCAAGATTCAGGTGGGAAGCTAGGAAAGAATCCCAGCCAAGCTCAAAAGCCGACCATTTGCTTATGATGTTCCACAACATTTTGCATGTTTTCTTTTGAGTCAATCTAGACAGCTGGGAACCCCATGGACAAGCCTTAATGGCACCAAAAAGAGTTTGTCACTGCCCTTTTCCTAGGACTGAGGCTGTGGTCAATCCATCTCTGTGCCTGGAGGAAGGCATCATTTTACCTGCTAGACCAGGGATGTGAAACTCAAGGCCCATGGGCCGGATCCAGCCCATGGGGTACTTAGAACTGGCCCACGGGGCTGCCATGGAAACACCCAAGAACCGGCTGACGGCGCCTCTGCCAGTGAAAATGGAGCTCAGGGGTGGGGCACATGCTAGCAAAACAAACTAAAAATAAAATAAAAGGAGAAATGTTTCCCCTTGTGCATTTGAGCAAACAAGAAGGGACAGGAAAGGAGAAAGGGAAAGAGGGAAGGGAAAGAAAAAGAAGGGAAGATGGGAAGAGAGCAAGGAAGGAAAAATAAGGAAAGAGGGAAAGAGGAAGGAAGGAGAAGGAAGAGGGAAGGAAAAAGAAAAGGGAGGGAGGGAGGGAGGAAGGAAGGAAGAAGATTATAATGAGAATGAGGGTGGGTCTGAGGGAAGTCCTGCCTTAGCACTTGGCCACCACAAGTGACCCTGGTACGCCTGATGTCAAGCTGGCCACACCCACCCTGCCCCCCCCCATCCCCCCAAGGTCAAACACAATCCTGATGCAGCTCTCAATGGAATTGAGTTTGAGACCCCTGTGCTAGACCCAAGCGATAGTTGCTCAAAGTCTTTAGTCTGGCTTTATAACTGCTCCACATATTTGTTTCATCCGCGTCGCGCGTGATGCAAACCCCTCCTGTAGAAGAAGCAAAGCCACTTACCTCTGTTTCATTGTAGGTGAGGACTGTGCTGGTTGGCACCTCTGCCTCAGTGCCACCTTCTGGGAGCTTATCGAGATTGTCAAGGTCTTCGTAGTTGAGATCTTCATAGGGGAGGGGCGTGTAGTACTCTTCTGTCATGGTCCCATAGTCGTATTCATCTATCAGCAGTTCATCCTCTACCTTGGGAACCTCCTCCTGGACCTTCTCCACCACCAGTGGCGGGGTGGGTGGAGGGGTGGGGCTCTGTTTGAAAGAGGAGACAAGATGGGCTGTCACAAACTCTACCCAGGATAGCCTGGAAGCACAGACAGGTGGGACTGACATCCTGTTGTGGCCTGTTGGCTTCCAGCCCCTCCAGCAGCCGAATCAGAGGAGGAGGAGGAGGAGGAGGAGGAGGAGGCATGGGAGTCAGGGTCAGCATCAGGACCACGAGGGAGAAGAAGGAATGGGTCTGGCAGAGAGAGACAGACAGAGACAAAGATAGAGTCAGAGTCAGAGGCAGAGCCTGGGCCACCCTCCGATGGAGAGTCAACAGCCGCCAGGTCTGGAGGTGGCTGATGAGGAAGAGGAGGAACATCTGGGTCCAGTGCCTGATGTGCGGATGCGCAGAAAGCAGAGGAGAGGAGAGGAGTGGAAATCTATAGGCTGGTCCTTGGGACGGAAGAGCCACTGCTGCTAGTGAAGCCCCAGCCCACCTCTGGGGATAAAAGGCCGGGGGCGGAGATGAATAGGTGTGGCAGACAACTATTCATCTTCCGGCTGGATGGACTTGTTAGCCTGCGAGAGAAACCTTTTGCTGGGGCTGCCGGCGCTCCTAATAAAGGAATCTTTTGAGTTCACGTCAGAGGGTTTGTTGTGTTTGGGGAGCTGGGTCAGAACACATCCATACAGCATTCTGTGCTGCACAAACCAAACACTCACATAGACACAAAGACACACCTGGCTGGAGCGATCCTGTTTCCTTCCACAGCCCCCACCGAGTGACTCAGTGGAGTAGAGCAGTGCAGGAAGGAGGCACCTTCAGATGTTAAGATTCACTACTGTAACCTCATAATAACAGTAGTACTAGCGTTCATGACTGGATTCCCTAGTCTGGTCTACCTTGAAGCAACAACATCAATCCTCCAAGTCTCGACATGCTTTCCCCTTCCCTCCCAAGGAAGGCCCCCATCTAGAATGGTTTTCAGATTAGGGTTCAGCCCTGGACTCCGATTTCTTTTATCTGACTACTGTTTTGGTCACAGTAATTTCTCCAGTTTCTCAAAGTTATTCCTTCTGCTTTGGATCTTCCTCCTTCCTTCATGGCTTCCTCCTTAACTCAAACCATCCCTCCTAGAAGATGGAAGATTAGACTCAGAGGACAAGGATGTTCTGACCTAGACCTTCCCAAGATCATGAAGCAGACTTCTCATCCAGATAAAACTCCTTTTATTTAGGTGAAAGGGAATTCCTCTCCAGCAAAGTCCCAGCAAACATGAGATTTCACAACTACAGACCTTCATCAGGCTTGGAGAGTTGCCAGGCCGATATCTTCCAAATGCCACGCTGTAGCAGCAATTACTTGGCAAGGAGTCAGGAACAAAACTTCACCCTCATGAATTGAACTAATTGTCTCCTGCAAACCCTCCTCCCCTTTTGCTCCTCTTTATTCCCTATGGGAGGGGGCCATTCACCATCCACCTGTGCCTTTACTCCTGAGTCGACCCTTGTTCCTTAACTGTTCCCTTCTCCTGGCAGCTCTGTGCATGCGCACACTGGGAACAGGCTCCAGCTGTTCTTCTGCCCCCCTGATCTCCGACTCCGAAGGCAGCTGATAACTGTCGGACGGCCCTGGCCCCACCTCTGCCTCTGATGCAGAGCCCCCGTCAGAGCCTTCCCCAGACTCCAGGACTGGCCCAGGTTCCTCCCCAACCTCCTCAGCTCTCCGAGTCTGCCGCCAGCTGCACTGGCTGCTGGTGGGCCACAACAAAGGCTTGCCACTTGAGCTGACATCTATCTATGTTGTGAGGCCAAAGGGAACAGTGGAGGAGGAGCGACATGTTAATCTGCAGAAGCCAAAAATTAAGGAGTCTGCAGCACCTTTTCCAATGAACAAGTTTTATTAAAAGCCAAAGGCTTTTGTGAGCTGCAGCTCCCTTCGTCCAAAGCAATATCAAATATGGTTTCTTCTTTTCCAAGACATCGACACTGCCCAGAGCAAGGGCTACCCATGGTATCTTCAGCTACTTTAGAAGACAGACTTTTAAATTGAGTTATTTGACAGCCACCCTCCCTAGGTTTGTAGAATAAAATCCACGCGCACAAGGAAAATGGAAATTAATAGAGATGATCCACTTGCCAAGCCAATTGGGGGCTGTTTCTGGACAGGTTCAAAGCACCTTGGCTTGGTCCATGGAAGGAGGCCCTGGCCTGCCTCGTCTTTCCATCAAGCCCTCTGAGACAAGCAAATTCAGGAAACAGGAGCACTGTCGACTTTGGCAAAGATCTTGATGGATGGAATGGAATCCAGAAAGCCTGGTGAACCATTTGCAGCTCAACTTACACCTAGCTGAATTAAGTCAGAATTACTTTGAGTCTCTTTCTCAGGCTTTCTTCAGGAATCTTTTCCTGTTTCCTCCTCCAGGTTCCTGGAATCTGTTAGAGGCCCCATCGCAACTTCCCTCCTACCGGACCCACAGAGACCCACTGGTCCACCAGCCCCTCCCTCTCACTGTCCTTTACCTTGGTGGTGTCAATCACTTCTCTGGCTACTTCATCAGTTTCCACAGGTTGGGCGGTGGTTGGGGTCGCTTTGCCTGTCTCGTCCAGATCCTCATAGTAGGGGTATTCGTAATAGTAAGTTTCTCCTTCAACTTCCAAGTTCTCGTTCCCATCTGGATACTGTGAAGCAAGGAAAGTGAATGAAATGGCGACATGCATCATTACAGGAAACCCTTAAAACTGTGGAATTCACTCCCAGGACCCAGAGAAGGAAGGCCGCTGGCTTGGCAGCTGCTAAAGGGGGAACTAGCTACACCCACAGCGGACAGGCCTAGCAAGTACTTCTAGTCTGAGGCCAACTCCAACAATAAGCATATTTCAGATTAACAGGGTTGGAAGGGACCTTGTAGGCCATCTAGTCCAACCTCCCACCCAAGCAGGAGACTCTACACCGTTTCTGACAGGTGGCATTCCAGTCTCTTCTTGAAAGCCTCCAGTGATGAAGCTCCCACAACTTCCAAAGGCAACGTCTGTTCCATGGGTTGGCTGCTCTCCCTGTCAGTAAATTCCTCCTTATTTCCAGGTTGAATCTCTCCTTGATCACTTTCCATCCATTGTTCCTTGTCTGGCCTTCGGGTGCCTTGGAAAACAGCTTGACATCTTCCTCTCTGTGGCAGCCCCTCAAATATTGGAAGATGCTCTCCTGTCTCCCGTGGTCCTTCTCTTAAATGCAACTTCTCAAAAATGTAACTTATACGTTATACTAGCTATCCACGGAATCCCTGTGAATCCAACGTCATCATTGCTCACAGAAGCTGCCCGCCTAGCGGTTCTCTGTGTAAGATGCACTCTTCTGGGGTTTTCTCCTCCCAAACAATCTCCAAGGCCCGTCTCTGCACTCTTTGGTTTTGAATGCAAAAGAAAACGATAATCCAATTTCTCTTTTCTTTTGCTGCATGCGGGCAAAGAGGCTCACCCAGTTGGTAGACTTTGGAGCTAGGAGGGCTCTGGGTTCATTTTCTGAAGTCCAAGGGAAAGTTACACAAGGTTCAGGGCATAAAGACAGCAGCAGAGATGATGATCATCATGGCTGTTGCTTGTTAGAAAATGAGAAACTTCTGGGGGTGGGACAGGGTCACTCAAAATTACCACTGAACGTAAATTCACCAAAGCAATTTGGTGAATTACTTGGTGAGTAAGATGAGCTGTCTTGCTTTACTAGAGAGCCATTCCCACCCTTGCTTAAAGATACACACTTGAAATGAACACTGCAGGTTAGGGCTAGGGTTAAGGTTAGCGTTAAAGCAGGGGTGGGATTCAGCCAGTTCGGGCTGGTTTGCACGAACCAGATATTAAATTTACATCTGGTTCGCTGAACCGGTAGTTGAACCAACTGGCTGGCCCGCCTGCTCCGCTCCACCTCACGCGGCCCGTTTTGGATGTAGGTAAGTGCAGGGTCTGCATGGAGGGTCTGGGAGGATGAAAAACGGCTCTCCCGGAAGTTCCAGAAGGTCTGGAAACAGGCCCATTTCTGGTTTCCGGAAATGGGCCTGTTTCCGGAAATGGGCCTGTTTCCGGATTCCAGAGGGCCTCCGGAGCCCGGGGGAGGCCGTTTTTGCCCTCCCAGAGGCCTGAGGAAAGCCTCCAGACTCTGGGGAAGACGAAAAATGGCCCTCCCGGAAGTTCCAGTAGGCCACGCCCACCATGGCCACACCCACCCAGCAACTGGGCAGAGAACCAGTTGTTGAGATTTTTGAATCCCACTCTGGGTTAAATTTAGGGTTAGGGTTACAGCCAGGATCCCAGTGTAGGCTTTCTAAGGGAGCATGCAACTGAACTTCTCCACGGAAGTCCCAAGAGATGCTGGATCAGCTTGCATGAGTCTGCTTATCTGTTACACATGGACATTAACCAGCCCAGGCCTCTCTTGTATATATCAAGATGACTAAAAGGGCCAATTAAGCCGCTGCTTCCGCTGGGCAAAGGCCTTCCATCCACTCCCGTATCTGTGAATGTCTCACTACTCCAGGTCTTCTGTTGTTGTTTTTTGTAGACGGGTGTAAGTTTGGGTAGGACAACATTTTGCATGGTTGTTGTTGTTTTCTACTTATTTCTGAACTGTATTCATGGGTCATAATTATCATTGGTATTCTTTAAAAAAATATTTTTTAAAAAAAATCTCTTTATGGGACACAATCCATGTTTATTTAAACAGGGTTGTGTTAAACACCACAACTGAGACTGGGTCTTTTCTGTCTCCCTTTCTATAACACTCTGTCTACATGCGTGTGTGTGTGTGTGTGTGTGTGTGTGTGTGTGTGTATTTGTTTCTCCACCAGATACACACCAGGGTCCTCTCTGCAGACCTCTGCCATGTGCCAGCCGCCTTCCCTTTTTTTTAATTATAAAAAGTTTTTTTTTTATTTTTAACAACAAACATAGACAAATACAAACATAAAACAACAAAATAAAACCATCTTTCAATTGTACAGTCTGTCGGTTGGTACATAATTCTTGTGTATAACATATACATAGTCTTTTCCTCTTCAATTTAAATTTACATTCATATTACCTTAATCAACTTTCCATGTCATATTGTATTATCATTAAATTTTAGTTCCAAATCCACATTATCCTTTAGAGCAAATCTCAATTCTTACCAATTTTAATACATATTAAGAGTCATTCTATAAGAATCAATTATAACGTATCATTACTGTTAAATTATACTTCAATTTTCCACGTTTCCATCTAACCATTGGTAAAATAAATCCCACATCTTAAAATATTCTTTTTCTTCTTGCTCTCTAATTGCCAATGTTAATCTACTCATTTCTGCACATTCCATTATTTTCTTAATCCCCTCTTCCTCTATCAGAATTTTCTCATTTTTCCAATTTTGCCAGCCCCCTTCCTAACTCTGCCCTGCCCAACTCAGCCCTCGCCTGTGGGTGGCAGGGAGAGATGAGGTCTGGCCGCCGCTCAGGCCCCCAGCCCCTTCCCCACTCACGTATTCGTCAGGGTTTGGGTCCTGAGAGTGAGGCACATCTGGCACAGCTGTGTCACAATCGGGGCTGTAGTGTTCACAGTAATCGTAGGCGGCTTGATGGTCCGAGACGATGAGCAGTTGCTGGATGTCACCCTGTGGGGGGAAGAGACAGACCACAATGACAGGAGCCCCACCTGATCTCACAGAGGCACCCCCTCCCTTAAAAGAGGAACCCACCCCACTGTTTTCCTGAATGTTTTCAATGGGAAGAGACCGGAATTCCCGCAATTCAGGAAATGTCGAGGGAGCACCCACAAAAATCCCGCCATGCTGTGTGATCTCTGCCGTCTGTTCCAGTTCTCTGTGTCTATGAGCCTCGGTGGCGCAGAACTGGTTAGAGCGCAGTACTGCAGGCTCCTTCTGCTGCCTGTTGGCTGCCTGCAATTTTGGGCAGTTCGAATCCCACCAGGCTCAAGGTTGACTCAGCCTCCTATCTTTCCGAGGTGGGTAAAATGAGGGTAAGAGGCCGACTCTGTAAACTGCTTAGAGACGGGCTGTAAAAGCGCTGTGAGGTGGAATATAAATCTAAGTGCTATTGCCATCTATCTCACAGAAGTCTGTCTGTCTGTCTGTCTGTCTGTCTGTCTGTCTATCTATCTATCTATCTATCTATCTATCAAATCTATCTAAATCTACCTACCTACCTACCTACCTACCTACCTACTTACCTACCTACCTACCTATCTATCTATCAGCCATGGTGACACAATGGTGAGAATGCAGTATTGCAGGCTAACTCTGCCCATTGCCAGTAGCTCGATCCTGACTGTCTCCAGGTTGACTCAGCCTCCCATCCTTCCGAAGTGGGTAAAATGAGGACCCAGATTGTTGGGGGCAAGAGGCTGACTCTGTAAACCGCTTAGAAAGAGGTGTAAAAGCACTGTGAAGCGGTATATAAGTCCAAGTGCTATTGCTATGTAAAACTGGACCCCTAAATGACCCCTGGCATTTCTCTACACTTCACACACACACACACGTGCACACCCCTACCCTTCTTTTCAATTGCCACTTTACTTTAGAAATTGTGAATTTTTAACAAACAAAAACAATGGACATAGAGACTGACATTTAGAGTGAGTTGCAAAATATGACGTAAGTTTGATCTTATGCCCACAGAAGACCTAAACTATATACGTATCAAATGGAAATCATATGAATCACTAGAAGAAAAAGTAAAGGGTCTAGAAGCAAACTCTAACTATTCTAAAACTCAGTGAACAAAGTGAGAATTCCCAACCTGAACAAGAAGATTACACCAAAATTAAACACAATGGGGAGCAAGCAGCTTCTTTTAAAAAAATGACCCCATATATGAACAAAAGGAAGAAAACCAATATTGAACACAAGAGGGAATAAACAGCTTCTTTCTAAAAATGACCCTTTATATGACCCTAAAGAGGAAAACCGATGGAAACATGTCACTTTTAGAAGAAATTAGCCACCAAGAGCAAAGCCCCCACTGTATTCCCCCTAGCCCCTTTCAGTGAAGCCCCTCTGGAACTGAACAATCGTTTTCATAGCTTCGCCCTGGAAGAAAATATACAGGCACTCACAAAAGAGCATCCATCTATAGTCTCTTAAAAAGAAGTATGACCCAGCATTCCTGTGACAGGAAGAAAAGTATTCCAGAAGGGGAAAAAGGCGAATATTGGTGATAGGATTATTTTGATAGATTACTTTGGGGGACAGAAACTATAGTCTGCAGACCAGGCAGTCAATCCAGGGAGGTATGTTGTCATCTCCCTGGAGCAAAAATTAAAAATGTAACTGAGAGCGTTACTAAAATAATCAACCCCACAGATTATCACCCCTTTCTTTCCCTACATCTGGGGACCAATGACACAACAATGAATCTCAAAACAAGTTTTAGAGATTGTGAACAGCTAGGGAAGAAAGTTAAAGAATTAGGAGCCCAGGTAGTGTTTCCATCTATACTTCCAACAAAAGGGCAACATCCAATGAGGATTTGAGAAACTAACCACAGGCTTAAAAATTGATGTCACCAACAGAACTTCAGCATCCTAGAGACCATGGTCTGCACTGCCTACACAAAGGGTACTAGCAAGGGATGCACCTCACAAGAACTGGAAAGAATATATTCAGAAAAAGACTAGCTCATCTTATCAAAAGGGCTTTAAACAAAAATTGGGAGGGGGCAATCTTCAAGACCTTTACAACCTAATCCAGTCGTGGCTAACCTTTTGGGGCTCCTGTGCCAAAAATTGCACATGCCAGCACCCAGATGGCAATGCACGCCCCCCCCCCCCCCCCCCCTTGGGCATCCATGCCCAATCCCCCCCCCCCCCCGCTGCCGCCGCCCCCTTACCTTCACTGTTTTTCCGAAAATACCGGAAGTGATAAAACAGGGCTAGTTTTTCCAGAAATACAGGAAGTGACAAAATGGACCTATTTTTTGGCCTACAAAGCCTGCAGAGGCTTCCCTCAAGCCTCTGGCAGGCCAAAAAAGGCCTGAAAATCAGCTGGGAAGCACGCACATGCACAGTGAGGTAAGTTTGCCTGGGGCCCACATGCCCGCACAAATGGCTCTGCTTGCCACCTGTGGCACGTGTGCCATAGATTTGCCATCATGGACCTAATCCCAAGCAAAAATCACTAGATAACCAATCATATAAAGAGGTAGGGAGTAAAGAGGAGGAGGAGGAGGAGGAGGAGGAGGAGGAGGAGGAGGA